TTTTTTAAAAGGTGTTTGAAACAACCCTTGGTGAAACGGTGAGAAATAATTAATTGACACGAAAATTCATTCAATTAGCTTTTGAAAGAAGACAACTTCTAGAAGATTCATTGAATGGGGACACATTTTGATGATACACCAATGCACCTCTTGGATTTTTATAAAAGATCATCTACGAGAGACTGACCGGTGCCAACCACCACATACGCCACAGTTGCCGCCTATCGCCACCGCTAATTTTTCTTTTTATTTTGAGTTTTAGTTAAGTGAAAGAAGATATTCAATGAAACTTTAAGACATTTGGTGGAGAGAAATTTGAGATAAATTAATATCTTTGTAACTACATTTGATTTTAATTTAGACTTATTGTTTGTGTACATGGTTTCTATTTTCAAACACAAGTGTGGTTGAGTTTTCTTCATGAATTCTAAGTAGTTTTCTTTATTTTTTTTCTTAAAATGATAAGTGATTAAGTATTGGAGGGAAGTTGTCTGAAGTTTTAATCATTAATGTTCGAAGAAGTTGTGATGATTTTAAACTTTATACTACATTTAATTCTTGATTTGGCCAATTAAGACATTAATACATGTTGTGAGAATATGTAAGATCTGAGATGGTATTGTCTCAGTCAACAAATGATAAAAATCACATTTGATTTCATGGATGAGAATGTAGTTCATGAGACTGAGTGCAAATAAATAGGGAAATAAACTTTGAAGAGTGTAAAATTAGAGGACTTTAGAGGGACAGACAAAAGCCCCCAATTTGATTTATAGTTTTAGGTTTTGATACGAGATATTAGCTCCCAAGTGGAGAGAGAAGAGGAAACTCTAGCGTGAGAGCTAATATCTTCCTTACCTAATCCGTCTTCAAGACTATTGAAACTATAGATTGATCAATGTTCTTTATAACATCTATATTAAGGGTAAATAATATTATTGCTCATGTTTGACACAACACAATTAGAATACTTCCACAACAGAATTCATATATTTGTCATGAACTCATGATAAGGAAAAATATATTTTATTTATATTATCTTTATCTTGCAAATATCTTTTTAAGTTAGTTAGCTGCTTACTTTATTTTCAATTATCAAAAACGTATAAAAAGAATCGAACTTTCATTCCTATTTTAGTATCTAGAGTTTAAGTAAGAATATTTTGCTAAGTAGAATTTTGTTATCTAATTTCTTTTGTTTTATGAAGTGCATATTGTATTTTCCCTATGGTGAGTTCGATATTCGTGGCTTAATCAAAAAGTTATATATTACTTGATAACGATATATATACTTGCATAGTTTCCCATAATGAATATTATAATTGTATTCTTATTTGCTTTGAAGTCAAGATCTTACCTAAGATTTGGTTGGGATCAAATTTTGGCGCCGTTGAAAATTAAGAATTATAATTAAACATATAATCGCATACATCGCATTAATAAATATAAAGAGGGTCTCGATCAACGAATTTCAACATGTTTAAGGCAAGTAAATGTCATCTAAATGTTATCCAATGGAGAGAATCTCCCTCGAACCGTCCGACGTAGTGCTCTGAATTTCTTCCTTTTTTTGCAAGTAGGCCTCTCCCATGCTCCATAAATAGAGCCCTACCCCATTCAAGAAGGGGAACTTAGGCCTCAAAATTGAAAGAGGAGCTGATTTTCACAGAAGGGACTGAATTCACCCTACAAACGGTTCTCACTTCTACTAACCATTGTTGGCCACAGTTTGTCCACTGTCATCGATTGCTTCTTGGTATATTAGAACAAAAGAGCAAAATATTTGGCTTCTTGGTATTTTTGGATGAAAAAAACAATCTTGCTCGATAATAGGGAGCAATTGATATGTCATCGACAAAATTTATATTTTGGCATTAATCTCGAGTCGATTAGCATTAAGCATAGAGTATCTTTTAAGCACGTAACATTCACTCTAACAAAAAATCATTGAAAACTCCAATTTCAGCAAACATAGAGTCAAACACACTCAATCCATGAAAAGATCACAATGACACCAAAATGGGCCTAATCTAAGTCAAATCATATCTTGGGTCAAGTAATTAAAACATTTTAAAAAGGTTTTATGGATTCCAAATATGAAGAACAAAGTCGAACCGATCATCACAATAAGAAGAATCAAACGCGTTTAAGATCACTGAATTTCAACATGGTTGAAGCATGTAAATGTTCTCTAAGTCATCTAATGAAGAGAATCTCCCCAAACCGTCCAACAGAGTGTTTTGGATTTCTTCCTTTTTTGCAAGTAGGCCTCTCCCATGCTCCATAAATAGAGTCCTACCACATTCAAATGGGTAATGGGGCCTCAAAACCGAAAGAGGAGCCAGTTCGCACATAAGGGACTGAATTTACCTTACGAACGATTCTCACTTCTACAATTGATTGGTAACCATTGTTGGTCGTCGTTAATTGCTTCTTGGTATATTAGAACAAAAAGAGTGAAATATTTGATTTCTTGGTATTTTCAGATGACAAAAACAATCTTGCTCGATAATAGGGGGCAATTGATATGTAAATAACAAAATTTATATTTTGGCATTAATCTCGAGTCGATTAGCATTAATCTTAGAGTAGCTTTTAAGCAAGTAACATTCACTCTAACTAAAAATCATTCAAAACTCCAATTTCATCAAACATAGAGTCAAACACACTTAATCTACGAAACGATCACAATGACACCAAAATGGGCTCAATCTAAGTCAAATCATATCTTGGGTAAAGTCATTAAAACATTTTTAAAAGCTTTTATGGATTCCAAATATGAAGAACATAGTAGAATCCATCATCACAATGAGACGAATCAAACGCCTAAGATCACTGAATTTCAACATGGTTAAGGCAAGTAAATGTTCTCTCATCCAATGAAGAGAATCTTCCCCAACTGTCCAACGGAGTGCTCTGGATTTCTTCCTTTTTTGCAAGTTGGCCTCTCCCACGGTCCATAAATAGAGCCCTACCCCATTCAAGTAGGGGGACTTAGGCCTAAAAACCGAAAGAGGAGCCAGTTCACACAGAAGGGACTAAATTTACCCTACGAACGGTTCTCACTTCTAGAGTTGCTAACCATTGTTGGTCACAGCTTGTCGACCGTTGAAACTCCAATTTAAACAAACATAGAGTCAAACACACCGAATTTACGAAACAATCATAATGACACCAAAATGGGCCCAATCTAAGTCAAATCATATCTGGGGTCAAGTCGTTAAAACATTTTTAAAAGCTTTTATGGATTCAAAATATGAAGAACATAGTAGAATCGATCATCACAATGATACAAATCAAACTCGTCTAAGATCACAGAATTTCAACATAGTTAAGGCAAGTAAATGTTCTCTAAGTCATCCAATGAAGAGAATCTCCCCAAACCGTCTAACGGAGTGCTCTCGATTTCTTCCTATTTTGCAAGTAGGTCTCTCCCACGCTCCATAAATAGAGCCCTACCCAATTCAAGAAGGGGAACTTATTCCTCAAAATCGAAAGAGGAGCAGTTCGCACAAAAGGGACTGAATTTACCCTACAAACGGTTCTCACTTCTACAGTTGTCAACCATTATGGAATCACGGTGTACAATGTGGATGTGAGGGCACACCAATAGAGCAGTCCTGAACAATATACACAATGCATCCCTAAAACAATGTACTGAAGTTCTAATTATAAGTCTAACTATAATCATTGTGAACTGATTTGCAAGAAACATTATACTTTGAGAAATTATATATCCCTTTCTCGCTTGTGGGACAAGATATATCCCTTTCTAGTTTGTGGGACAAGGATATAAATGTGGATGCCTTCCTCCCCTAAAAGTTCTTTTTTTTTTCCCAAAATTGCCTCGATCCAATACTATTCATCTGACTGTGTGAAAGACTTTCAAACAAGATTAAGCCATTAAATAATCACTTTACCGCAGTGAATGTTCGATCATGTATTAAGCGTAATGAATTATAATTGTGATTGACAAATTAATTAACACTTTTAAAAACAACAAACTAATTTAAGTTATCTAAAGAATAATAATAAATCATGATCCAACAATCAAAATATTCTATAGCACAAATGGAAAAGCTACTTTAGTAAAAATTAAACAAGAATAACAAATATACATTAATTATAACATCAATTTTGTCATAATATTTCACTTGAGTGATCCAGTCTCATCAATTAACTTATAACCGCCGAATTTTACATAATAAATTATTTCATATCAACACCTAAATTTGAATTTTTACATACATCCATTGCATACAAGTGAAAAGTCATCTTTAAATAAAAGTTGTAAAAATATAAAATTTAACTTCACGTTCAAAAATTGGGTGGTCCGATTGCATATTATCACGGATAAAAAGTCTCACGTCGGTTAAGTATAGGGCCGAATAAGAGTATTTAAGTCTTGAGCTGCCCACAAGGCCACCACCCAGAAGAGCTCTTTTGAGATGTGACAAGTGATATCAGAGCATTCTATTGTCTGCCAAATGTGTGCTCTCCATGGTCCAATAAGCCCCTCAAAAAAGTCGATCCGTGACGAGGACATCACATGATTGGATGGAAAAAAATATCACGAACAAAAGCCCCACAAAGACTTAGGTGTAGAGCCGAAGAACATTATTTGAGTCCTGAGCTGCCCACCACACCAAAAAACTCTTTTGAAAAGTCCATATAACTTTCAGTGCCAAAAAATATGAAATCAAGTTAAAAGGCACCTCCTCACTGCCCCTCTAACAGGCAAAGAAAAACAACAAACAAAACAAGATCTTGTTCCCAAAAAAACCCAAACATTGTCCGAATCTACAGATTTGGACAAAATAATATCACAAAGAATATGCCATTCTAGAACCTCCAATCCACTACTACAAGAAAGCCCCATAAATACTACAACCCAAAAACAACCATTAAATTCACTTCAAATTTCTTCGCTAAAATATTAACAAGACAAGGTTTGATTCATAAAAACTGCTTCAAAGTTCATACACAATATTCACTTGAAATGCAAACAATAAAAATTACAATAACAACACAATTTACAATATAATTTACAGATTACATCAATATTTAAAACTCCGAACAGAATAAAATAGCGAAAATACAAGGGTAATAGTAAGCCACACCTTGGGAAGCTTCAGTTCCAAAAATGACGGTTAGATAGTTTCTGAAATAAGAATTGCTGCAATGAGAAAGCTACGAAATTTCATTTGCTATCTTCGATCTGCTGCCACTCACTCCCATCATTAGATCTCCGATATGAATATTTCACAAAACACTACTTCGCTTTAAATATCTTATCATCAGTCTCCAAACTCTCATAAATTTACATCCTTTTCTAATGAATTATAACTTCAAAATATTTCGAAAATATTCAAAAAAAAAAAATCATGAACTCCTATGTTTTGCTGCAAATACCCGTTTTAGCACCCCTCTGGAGCGCTGGTTAATCTTTCACCACTTCACAAGTTCCGAAACCCACCCGATATCAGGAGCTGAGCCGACCTCAACATGGCCGAGCCCACTCTCCCTGCTCAGCCTCTCGTACATCTTAGCCCTAAGCGCTCTACCGGATTCAACCCTCTCCACCGGCTCTCCACCCTCGTTAAACCCCTCAGAACCCATTGATTCCCCTTTAGCAACTGCAGCGGAAGCCAGTGCCCTCGTTGGTGTTGATGGCAAGCTACAGAACCCTGGTTTCATCCTCAGCGCACTCCCTCCTCCCTGCATCCCATCCCAAGAAGAACATGGAACATTTTTTACCTTACTCAACTGCAGCTTCCTCAGCGACGCCAACACCTCGTTCACCGGCGACACCACCGGCCACGAACCACGCCTAGCCGGCGATATCGGCGGCGAATCTGCAGTCGGCGACATCGGCGGCGAGATCAGCGAATAGTTCGGCGAGGAGGAGATCAGACCCTTTCCAAAATAAGCATCTACCGCATGTGCCCTCATAGGAGATCCGTCATAAGACTCCAGAACAGCCCGCGGGCTCTGTTTCTGCGGTGACGGCAGAACACGAAGCTGCTCCGGCGTGTGAGCGAAGAAGCACACACGGCGGCGACATGCCGTACCGTCCTTGCAGGGTTGGGTTCGGTACCTAGACGGGTGAAGCCAACACTCAAACACACCGTGAGCGTACTCACAGGCGTCGCCCCTCTTACAGTTCCCCTTGCGAAAATCAGGGCACGCCGTGCCCGAATAGAGGTAGATCTTCGGATCACGGCGGCGAGCCTTTTCGCCAGGATGAGCATACGGGCACTCGGTCCAATCGTGAGATCGACCGCGAGCACATCGCCGGATTTTGAACTCGTACATACGAAACTCATCACAGGAGTACGCATCGATGGGCGGATCAGCGAGATCGGCGGCATCGTCCATGTCCGCCGCTTCGTTGGAGGGCAGATAACGCTGAAGCGAGGCCATCACGGCGTCGCTCAGTAAGTAATCACCAGCCACACAACCACCCAAACTGCTAGGTGTAAGTTGATCGTCGGACATCGACCATGGAGGCACGTCGACCATCAGATTGTGGTGTATCCCTTCTCCCATCATTCTCTCTCTCTCTCTCTCTCTCTCTCTCTCGCTCTGCTTTACCCTCTGCGTTCTTCCTCTTCTTCACGAGAGAGCAGAAGATGGTTCCAGAATATAAGCAGGATGGTGACAGGTTAGGGCTAACCTAACCAGTGTTAGGTGTGCCATACTAACGTGGTTGATGCTGTGTGGGTTTATTTTAGTATGGGGAGGGCGGGGGGTGGGCGGAAATAGAGGGGAAGAAAGTGGGACACGTGGAAGAAGGTGAGGGATTGTGTCAGGCATTTTAAAGGCGAGTTGGTCTATGGGATACCCGGCAGAAAGGACACGGTGTCGTTGCAACGCTCCATTTAGCGCAGCAGCTCCACGCCCAGCCACGGATCCATTTATATATATATATATATTTATTTATTTATTATATATATATATATATATACATATATCCATATATCTATATATCTATATATTTTTTTTTATTTAGAAAAAAGTTTGACTGAGTGGATATAATTTGAGGAAAAACAAATAATCAATAATAAAATAAAATATGTAACGATGTTAGAATTCAACAGAAAATTTTTTCTCCGTCTCATCGTGGACTAACGGGAGAGACACATGCAAAATATTCAAATTTATATTTTTTTTTAAATTTAATCTTATTGTTTATATATTATATAAATAAAACATTAAAATTATTTAAAGTTATCAGTTAATTTTTTTATAATATATATAACGAAAATTTTTTTGAATTCAAATATGGGGGAATTCATACCTAATTTTTAAGGGACAGCTTATTTAGTGCGGCGGCGTATTGAAAACGCCTAAATTTAGTGCGGCGGCGTATTGAAAACGCCTAAATGTATATATTAGAAAATTAGTTCAATTTGAGTTAAATCAAGCTCATATCAAATCATTAAACAACTCTTGTAAGATTTCCGGACATATTTAGAAGGTCAAATGAACGTAGAATCTAACAAGCCTGTAGCCGAGATGAGTATCTCGACAAGAAGAATCTAGCGAGCACAAGATTGCCCAATTCTGACAAAAGTCGTCTGATCGATGGGAGCTCTCCGGACCGTCCGATCAAAGTGGTTCATATTTTTCCATTATTTGCACCTATAACACTATAAATAGAATTACACCCTCTCATAAGAGGACCAGAGTTTGAAGCTTGAGATGGAACTTGAAGCTTTAAGAAGAAGCAGAAGTCCATCACCACTCATATCATCGTCGTTCACCACTGACCGTCATCGATTATAACCAAACACGGTTGACCACTGCCGACGACCACCACATGTAGGCCTCCACCAATCACCATCAGTTGTCGTCGACTTCTTACAACAAGTTTATTCACACGTCAAGTTTGTAATATGAAACTGTGTAACACTTTTCCCGTCTGTGGGATAAATGGTCTCAGTAATCATCAACTTATAGTTGATTTTTTCAACTGGGTTAGACCTCATGGTTTTTTCCCTTCAATGGCTTCCAACATAAAAACTTTTGTTATTACTACTGGTTATTTTATTTTATCTGAGTGTGTTGAATTCTCATGCAATGCTAAGACGATAATTCATTATTCCACCGCTTTGAATTTTCTAGCACGCAACATATCTACATGCTTGACAACTAAACATTCATATTTATTGCATATCACTCATTTTTTTAACATCATGTTAAAATTTTACCATCATTATTCTTCTAAATAAAAATCATTTCATATATAAAATTACAAGAAAACTGTTGTATACATTCGAATTGTCAACACGAATCTCAAAGCAATTCAACGACCCAGGATGGTAGACGGGGATCTGAATCGTTCATTCAAAGACTGACCACTCGGTCAAAGTCAATCAACACACTATCATTGGAGGCGCAATTGACGGACCACGCTTGCAGCCTCGGTTGCCTAAAGGCTCCTTACAAGGGCGTTCGATCGCAATCAGTCGACAGACGCGAACGTCATTCAACCAGTCTTCTAGGTCAACTAAACCCAAGCGAGTCGACAGACTGGTTACTGTCATATTCAAATTTAAATTATAACACAGATTTAACACTAAATCAGCATAATTAATCGTATTAAGGGATGTTGGCTTAACCATTTCATTTTTTCTGTAATTGTACAATTCAACTCTATAAAATGGACACAAAAAAGATGAATAAAAAGACTTTTTCCCGATTTAAGTACACCAATTGTCCTAATTACTCTCTATATTTCTTCTTCTCTCAACTTTAACTCTTGAGATAAATTCACAGCGGATAAATTACAATTCAACAATACTTATAAATATAAATATTAAATTTTGATTATTAGACATAAAAAAATACGTCAAAATTGCGTGACATATAAATGTAAAATTCCTCACATTAAATTTTTTTTTCTTTTCCAAATTTCGATAGTACAAAAATCACTCCAACTACATTTCAATCCACCGGTTGTAATATTAATGTTGACTGATTGACTCGAACCGAAGATAGCTATTACGTACAACTCCCCATATTTCAAGATTACCACCAGCTTTAATCCATCAGTTTTGGCCGTCCGTCAGAAAATCAACGGCTGTGAGGAGAGATCAAAAAGTACCTCGTCATTTGCGCAAAGACAAAATACAGCGGTCCAACAAAACCGGGCTCGACCGGCCGTCGGTTGTTTGCCATGCCACGTGGACCGATCCAACGACTGCCCATGTGACAAGATCATGACTGGAATGCTCCGCCACATGGGTCGCCATAAACCGGGCCCCGGATTGGGTCCCGCTTTTTACCAAGTCCGCACCGGATGGTGTAGCCTTCAATACTGCCGCGTTGGATGTTTCTCAATACTCGTGCAAATCCTCATTGGGCGACAGGATGATGCTCTCTGGCGGGGGGTACGGGAGCAGGTTGGGGAACAGGAAGGGCTACACGGGCATTGCTGAAGCTGTAAGAAATCGATCGGCACGGAAGATGAATGCTATTTGTACGGAATGACTACGTGGCGGCACCGCAGGGACAGGGGAGATGTTCTCTCATTAAAAAAGAGACACGTGTGTACTGTTAAGGCGTACGAGACAAGCGTGCCGAGGCGGTGCCTTAGCGGAGGGAGGGATGTGACCACGTACGAACCACGAGTTTCGTTCCGATCGCGTTATTATCGTGGCTGTAAAAGTAATGTGGCACCTCCATATGATTCATCGCACCGGTGGTAAGGGTAATATAAATAAATATTTTTATCTTCACTTATACGATTGAATTTAATCATCTAATCCAAAGATAAAAGTAAATCGAGCTAGAAGAAGGATAAAGAGAAAAGTTAAGATCCGAGTCGATCGTACTTGAACAGATAGATCAACATTCATGTTAAGTATCATTGAAAGTTCGAGCAAAAATACCGACCTACTTCTAGATAAATCCAACTTGAGAAAATAGTTTGATTCCTTGTCGAATACCTCCAAGATTCTTTCTAGTGGATTAAGAATTGGCTATGCAATCGAGCCTGGTCAAGGAATGAGTAATCTATTGAGTTACACGATGACTCACCCTCTGCTCGACATTTTATTCTCATTCTGCCGAGATGAAGTCTGCATTTAAAATTCGAGGGTGGATAGTCAGAGTAAACCAATTGATTCACGAAGCCCAACCGACGGAGTCAGTTCTACTGACCCAAAGCTAATTGAATCTAGCCGATCAGTAGCGCCAACATTATTGAGCCGAAATCATGATAGATCAACTGATGCAGTCATAGGGCAACCGAGCAATAAACTTGCACATGTAAAATATTTAAAATATCATGTAACAATCTCATTAAAGAATAACACAAATTTAATATCACATATTGTGCGCTCTCCCATATAAATAGAGATAATTTTTTGAGAAAGAGTTAATGTTCATTCTCTCTCTATCTCTCTTTCTTTTTGACGCTCTAATTAACTCTTTGGGGTGTGATTCACAAATAAATTAGGATTTAACATCATAAAAAGTACAGTAAATATGGATCATGTCATAAACAAAAAGAAGAAATGCACAGTAAGAAGAAATTCATCATAAAGATACTAAAAACATGAAATACATTAGAGACTCCATTAACAACCAGATCTAGGAATTGAAGGATAAGACATCCAACACCATCCAATTAATTGGCTCAGGAAAGGTCAAAGGTCAAGCAACAGTCCATAGTACAATCATTTTTTATAGAAATGTTGATCTAAATTTTCAGTCTGAACTCCAAACATAGCTTAAAATCAAGAGTTGAATGAATTTATGTCACGTCAAATAGCGGTCCCAAATTAATAAGTAATTAAAAGAAAACCGAAAATTTAATGCCTAACACGCCCATTCGACTAACCCGCCTTCTAGAGGTTAATCTCGCAGTATTCGCTCAGAAACGTGGTCATTTTTGGGTTATTTCTGGGAAAGATGGCGAATGACCAAGGAATAAGCTGAAAATAACTCATTAATAATTTGGAGTATGGGGGTACATTAGTTTTATTTCCAAGGTAATATGTACATCGAGTTTATTTCCAAGATAGTCTGGAGAGCAATGAAAAATAAAAAAAAGAGGAATAATAAACTTCGAATGACATTAAAATAAGATAGACATAACCTAGCAATAACCCATAAATAACCCAAAAACAACCCAAAAAAAAGGCCACGTTTCTGCTTAAGTGCTGCAAGATTAACGGGATTACCGTTGAGGGCTACTTCGAGAGTACTGCAAAAGTTTATGTGGGTGCTACTGTGGGTGTACTGTAGTATTTTATCAAATATACTTTCAGAGTACTGCGGGATTAACTCATTAATACGGGAAATATTTTGAGAGTACTCTCAGGATGCTTCAAGGGTTTTGCAGGCGTTGACTACGTGGGTACTGGGACGACTACTGTAGGAGTATTGCAAGAAATATTTCGAGAGTACTCTCAGGATACTTCAAGGGTTTTGCGAAAGTTTACTACATGGGTAATGGGACGGCTACTGTGGGAGTATTGCGGGAAATATTTCGAGATTACATTCATGGTATTGCGATGGGGGTTTATTTGGAGTACTACAGGAGTTTATGCGGGTGTTGCTGCAGAGTACTGCAGGAGTTTATCAAAAGTACTGTCGGAGTACTACGGGGTTAATTCTGAGTACTGCAAGAAATATTAGGAGAGTACATTCAGGGTATTGTAGGGGTCCCGTTGGAG